ACATAGCTTCCTTGATTTTAAATCCTGCAGTATTCCCTTGTTCTGTTTGAAAAACTGCTTCTTGGTCAACATACAGTTTTCTCATGAGTATGATTAAGTGTTATGGACTTCTTGGTCTTCTCATGTTATTCATAATTTATTATGATCCACAAAGTTAAATGCCTTTACATAGTCAATAAAACACAAGTAAATCTCTTTCTGGTATTCTCTGCTTTCCGCTAAGATCCACTTGATATCAACAATAATAATCCTTTATGTCATGGCCTCTTATGAGTCTAGCTTGAATTTCTGGAAGTTCCCTGTTGATGTACTGTTCCAGCCATTTTTTAATAACCTTTGCAGCAGGATTTTGCTTGCATGTAGAATCAGCAATATTGTCCAGTAACACATGATCTCTGTTGAGTTACCCTTTTTTTTTTTTAAAATGGAAACAAATATAGATCTCTTCCAGTAGATTGGCCATGTTTACTAGATATCTATTTTTCAAATTTCTTGGCATGGACTAGTGAGCATATCCAGGGCTACATCTATTTGCTGGAATACTTCAACTGGTATTTTGTCAATTTGGGGGCTCTTAATTTCAGCTCTTTCAGTGAAACTTGGGCTTCTTCCTTCAGCACCATTGTTCATATGCAACTTCCTGAAACAGTTCAATGTTGACCAGTTCTTCTTGGTATCATGAATGTGTGCATTCCTTCCATCTTCTTTTCATGCTTCCAGCATCATTCAAGATTTTGCCCATAGAAATCCTTCAGTATTGCATGCAACTCAAGGCTTGAATTTGTTTTTTAGTTCTTTTAGCTTCAGAAATGAGGAGTATGTTTTTCACTTTTAGTTTTCCAATTCTAACTCTTTGGACATTTCGTTGGAATAATTTGCTTTGTCTTATCATATTGCCCTTTAATATAAAAAACCAATAACACTGAACTATGAACTCACACTGACAGTAATTGTAAAGATCAGTAAGACAGGAAATCTGATCAAATGCTGGCAAGGGGGTGGAAAGAGTTAAACTTTCATATACTAGTGGTAGAACTATAAATAGTGCAACTGTTATGAAAAACAATATGACACTTCCTTGAAAGTTGGAAATAGAAATGCCATTTGATCCAACAACCCCAGTGCTACCCTAAAGAAATATGAGTTGTGACAAAGAAACAGGCAAACTCATAGTCATTGCAGCACTATTTACAGTAGCAAAGAGATGGAGATAACCTGGGTAGTCTTCAGTAGAGGAGTGGCTAAACAACCTATAGTACAATCATACAATGGAATACTCTGTAGCATTAAATAGTAATTAAATAATCTCTAATCACTGTGTAACATAGTTGTGTGTAGGACCTTGGGCTGAGTAAAGTTAGAAGAAGAAAAAGGTATCTTGTGATTCCATTATAAAATGCTAAGTCCTGATTTACACACAGAAAAACATTCTTGGATGGTTAGGAGAAATGGGAAGGAGGTAGAAAGGGAGAAAACAATTCAATAACTAGATAATATACATATACTAGATTGAGTGAAAGGAAAAGCAATATCTAATAAGGGGGATAATACCCAAACACACACACCTGTTCACACCTAGACACACACACATACCCTAAAACCATTTCAAAACCAGTCCTTAAGTAGATGACTGTCAGTGATAGGATATTGTCCATAGGCCTTTATGGAATACCAGTTGATATCCAACTATTACTCAGATTTATGCAGCAACCTCTAAAGGCAAAAGAAAGAATAAATTGAAGATTTTAATAATATCAACTCAACAAACTCAACTTATTGTTGTGGAGTAAGGACCAAATCATAGCTGATTTGCCAGGGGGTTGTCAGAGGCTATAAATCATACGGTACGAGAGTGCTCATCTTTCTCCCATGGAGCAGTTGGTAAATTCAAACAGTCAGCCTCTGGGTTGGCAGAGAAACTCCTTACCCACTGGCCCAACACCAGCTCTACAGCATCAGCAGCTAGAAATTGAACAGACATATAATCAAGGTACACTGATAATTACAGAAATTGGAATGTGAAAGTTCAAAATGGAGAAGGATCGGTCATTGGAAAAATATGACTTCAGTGATAGAAATATCACCAGAGATTGCATGATGGAATTTTGTATGACCAGTTACTTATTTATTGCATGTTGTTGTTGTTTTGTGCCGTCAAGTCACTTGCGACTCATAGCGACCCTATGTACAACAACAGCCCTAAACCCTGCTTTGTCCTGTGCCAATCGCACTGTCTCTGACACTCCCATCCCAATTACCCCAGTCACTGAATCAATCCACCTTATGGAGGGCCTTCCCCTCCTGTGCTGTCCCTTCACCCTCCCAAGCAGGATGTCTTTCTCAAGGACCGGTCCCTCCTTACAACATATCCAAAGTATGTCAGATGAAGCCTCAGGATCCTTGCCTCCAAAGAGCAGCCTGGTTTAACCCTCTCAAGGATGAATCTGTTTGTTTTCTTAGCAGTTCATGGTACCCTGAGTACTTTTCTCCAGGAGCACAGCTCAAAAGCATCAATTCTCCTATCTTCCCTAGTCATTGTCCAACTCTCTGATGCATAACAAGTGATTGCAAAGACCATAGCCTTTATCAGATGCACCTTAGTCTCCAGAAAGACAGCATTGCTCTTAAGTACTTTGGAGAGGTCCCTAATACATTTTTTTTAATAAACATCAGGGGCGGGGTGCGGAAAGAAAAATCTTCTCAACTAGACCAGTAGGCAACATGATTGATAGAAAAAAGATTGAAGTTGTCAATGATTTCATTTTACTTGATCCTACACACTCTATGACAGTAACAGTCAAGAAATCAAAAGTGGCATTGGATTGGACAAAACTGCTATCTCCTTATTTATAGTCTTGATAACTCAAAACAAATTGTTTCTGACCTCACACAAATGTTGCTCTTCATAAAGCTGCAACATTTGGTTTAGAAGACTTCTTTTGTTTTTAATCCTTTTTTTATTGGTTGTTTATTTTAGCTTAAACCATATTTTCTTAGGCTAGTAAAACATCTTCTAGGAAATGAATTTTTACAGTAAATTGTTTGTATCCTATCTCTTGCTAAGATCTTACAGTTACGGTATCTTAACTCTTGGTTAAAAAGAAACTACTGTATATTAACACTGCTAGTTTTTCATTTCTTTGATTTCTCTTCTCTTTCAAAACCACAGCTTTTAGACAGTATACTGACCTTTTCTCAATAGGTTATCTGCTCTGGTTAATCATTAGTCGTGGTGCTGACTTTTATGGAAACAGTTGTGCATTCTTGATCAATTCCCTTAAATCTACCCACCCTCTTTTGCTAAAAGATAAGAGAAAAATATAGCTAAAATTTATGGTAGAAATCAAAACTAAAATGAGATACTGTCTCACCCCAGTAGCACTGGTAAAGTTTAGCAGGGCAGCAAGCAATAAATGCTGGAGAGGATGTGGAGAGATTGGAACTCTTATTCACTATTTGTGGGACTGTAAAATGGTACCACTCTAGAAGGCAATTTGGCATGTCCTCAGAACGCTGAACATAGAGGTTCTGTATTATCCCCTATACCACTGCTGGAAATAAACTTTAAGGAAAGCAGAACTGAGATACAAATAGAGATTTGTACATGGATGTTCATAGCAGCTTTATTCAGAATAGCAAGAACATGGAAACAGCTCAGATTTCCATCAACAAACTACTAGAATGAGAAACCGTGGGACACTCACACAATTGAATAATATGCATCACTCACACAGAACAATTTTAAAAAATACTATATAACATGGAAGCAGCTCTTTATGCCCAGTGAACTAACTCAGCTGCGTAAGAACATACACTGTATAAGACTATTATTGTAAAGGTAGCAAAATAACCAGTGAGATGTGTATGTATATACAAAGAAGGGAAGAGATAGGATGAAGGGGCTGAGGATGAGTAGGGGGAGCTCATGGAGTCAAAGAGTTTGGTGAGTGAAGGGGAAAAAGAGAAGATTTACGGTGGGATTCGATGAACTATGGAGTCCCTTTCAAAATAAAAATTGTGATTTAATCTGCGTTGAAAAGAAGAAGGACTTGTCCTTTTCCTACATTCTCATTTTTCTTTACATTTGCCTTTAGGATTTGAGATTACAAGTCTTTTAACTTTACTTATTTTTAATGTTTTTAGAAGAGCTGTGGTTAGATGGATCCGTGAGCATTGTAAGATTGACACCAAGGTGATGATGTTCCAATCAGGTTTCTCTGAATTTTCTACCCATTGGCAGTTGTTGTTCTCACAGAATGAGAATTATGCTGGAAATTCAACCTCACTTTAACAGTACATTCTTGTTAAAGAAATCTGTTCACATACTACTTTTTCATATGTTATTTCATCCTCAAATTATTTTTTTTATTTATTCTTCAAGTGAAATAGATACTGACAAGATAATGCCTTTGCTGACCAGTTTTATCTCTACTACACAGATACAAAGAGATTAGTGAAGTCCCTATGTTTAGAGTTTAAGTTAAATAATCATGAACTTCAAACAATACTGTTAGCCACAGAGATAGCTATGCACAAAAGACCTGTGGCTACTCTAGCTTCCACTAGTTGGTTCTTCCAAGTTCTCAGTCTCTCTTGACAGGATAGAAACCTTTCCCCATCCTCAGTGAATGATGTTATTTTGAAATTATTTGTTAATGATGCCCCCTTTATATTCCTTTCACAAGAAGAGGCCAAGGACTACATAAACTCAAACTTACTACTTCTCATGGTGACCCTATAAGGGAGAATAGAACTACTTCAGAGGGTTCTCAAGATTGTAAATGTTTTTTAAGAAGCCAACTGCCTTGTCTTTTTCCCACAGGGTGGTTGATGGATGACAACTGAATACTTAACCCACTGGGCTACCAAGGGGCCTTTTGTATCTTAATAACATGTTAAACATGAATCTAGCTTCTAACTTCCCCTAATGATTCCCTCCATCTGTTCATTAATGTTTGTGATTGTTAGGTAAAATAATCTCACTTTCCATTTTCTTTCAGTTTCACCATTCGGATTGCCTTTCTACTTGGCTGCTACATTTCATTGCCACTAACTACCTCATCTTCAGTCAAAAGCCTGAATTTCAGGATCTTTCAGGTAATTGGCAGTTTTTATTTTTAAGAGAAAATTTGGCTATATTTTGTCTTTTTGGATTTGAGACATAGTCATTTTTTAAAAACCATTTTTTTAAGAACAGTCACTAATGTATTCTTTTTAATGTTACAATATGTTAAGGATACTTTAAAGTTACAAGAAGTTTTCTAATGATTATGGCACAGCACTCATTCATTTTTAAATGCATCTTTTTTTTTTCTTCCTTGAAATAAAGACTAAGATGCATGAATGTATTCCAGGTGGCATTTGATGGTAATAAATAATATTTTGTCTTTAACCACTTAAATCAGAAGCTTACTATAAAATGGCTCAAATTTTTTTAAAGTTCTTCTAAAAGAATTATAATTATTATTTCTGGTATGTAATTTATAATACTTATTATAATCTTCTATTATTACATATTTCAATACAGGAATTAGATTACTTTAGAATAACAGCATTATTTTATTCATTAAAAGCTGTTGTAAAACTTACTGCACAGAGAGTATTTGTAGTGTGATCTTTAAGGTAAGTTGTAAAGATCAGAACCAGTCAAAGAATGAGCTCTTGAGTGGTGCTGAAAAAGAGAGAAAATGAAACTAGAATAGTCATCAGAGTAGACAGTCAATTCAGAGAAAATGGTTTGTTCGTATTATTACCTAGACTAGAACTCAAAGCTCATTACAGTTGAGTTGGAATTGACTCACAGTGGGCCCTCCAGCAGGTTTTTAGAGGCTGCGTTTCACACGGGAGGAGATTATTCATCTTTCTCTAGCAAAGCTGCTGGTGAATTAGAACTGCCAGAGAGACAGCAATTTTGATTAAGCAGCGTAACTCCCTACCTGCTGCATTGGCCACAAAAGCAGAACTAAAAAAAAAAGACATTAGACATCACATGTTGTTGTTGTTATCGTTGTTGTTGATTGCCTTCGAGTTGAGCATCACTCATAGTGACCCTATGAACAAAAGGCCTAAAACCCCTCTGCAACTGTCGACATTTATCAAACTTCATAGAGTTTCTGGAAGCATGTTATTTAGGAAGTGGATGCCACTCTGATTCCAAATAGTCAAGTAGTTTTCATAGTTTGGACAAAATCTTCCTGGAGGTTTTCTGAGGTGAAGGACAGAGGGCAGAAGACAAACTTTGGGGAGAGGAGAGAAGGGATAAGAGAAAGAGGGAAACCATCTTTCCTTCAACTATCGTGCTTCCATTTTTAGCTATTTTTTTTCCCCTTGGAATTCAGCATAACATTTTACTTATAAAAAGTATTCTGCTAAGAAGATGTAAAATTCTCTTGATTTTATTCAGATTCTTATTGTGCAGTTAAGGAATATCAAGGACCATACTGTCAATTTTTGGCAGGTGTATTCACCAAATACTGGGGACATTTACCATCCTAGATGCTGGAGCCTTTTTACACAGAGCTCAGATATTAATACAGTTGTTGTTGTTGTTGTTGTGTACTACTGAATCAGGGCCAACTCGTAGATTACACTCCTGCATGTTTTCAGAAGCAGTTAATCACACAGGTGAAGATTGCCCATCTTGTGGGAGCAAGATCTGATGGGTTTCAACAGCATTCCTTTGGGATTGCAGCGCGGCTTCTTAACCACAAGAGGCCACCAGAGCACCCATTAAGCTGTCGTCTTGTGCCCTTGAGTCAACTATGACTTTTTTATTTTATTTTATTAATTTTAATGAACATTTACAGAGATTTTG